TTGAAGCATTACTAATCCGGGGTTGCAGATGCAAGGATCCGCTTAGCCACAAAAGAAGCAGCACATCAAAACCTTTCTTTTTATCTAAAGGGGGATTTGATATGACGCAATCGTGCCTGTGTGGAGGCGACACGGTATTCACACTGCAAAAGCGTACCAGCCAACTTTCGAATTTGAAGACAGTTTTTGACGATGACGAAGTAGGAGCTCTGCTGATTTCTTCGGGGAACATTAATAGTCCCTACAGAGTAGTACTGTGGGCGTAGAATTGTTACTCTACCTCTGCCCAGTTTGACGTCAGTGCAAACATTGTGAACTCCGTTACTTTTTGAAAAAGTTAGTGAGAACGACTTTGGTCGTCTCCTGACGAAATATAGAAAAATATTTCCACATCGAAATTCATTCCTTGCGTTCCCTGGATATGTCACTCCAGAAATGCAATGTGCCTTAGACGACTATTCCCTTAAAATTGTCCGGAATTTGGCAAAGTCCGCATGAACTCAGACATTAGGAACGTACTGGAGTTCACATTTTGACCATTTAAACTGCTCTAGTCACATACTGTTGCAGTATTCTTAGGTTTTTAGTGGTGCACCAGGTAGTATTACTGCTTTCGAGTATCTAGATGGTATAAAAACCTTTTAAAACCATATCACATAGTTGTGAAGGGCCGCGGAATCTAAACGGCCCGTATTCTGAGAATCACCCACCAGCTCTGTAGAGTCCACTGTGGCGGAGCACCCTCAAGTCATGGCATGAGACTGGGAATCCTATACACACATCAATGAACTTCCCTGTATGATTCACAAGCCCTGTGAGATTGATGGAGTAATAGAGTTTTCTATTAATGTATTCATCATGTCGGTCTGCATCTTCACAAATGAAATAAATTTGACAGCCATCTATGGCACCACAGCACTGGGCAAAAGCAGGAGAAGAAGCCATATTTGCAAAATTGTTGTCCAATTTGAGGAAGTTCTTCAGCAGTAGGCAACCGAATGACTTGATGCAATACTCTGCAAATGATGTCCAATACCATAGCAGTTAAGTCAAATGCTGTGCTATGGCACAGATCAAATGAGTTGCCCAAGACTCTGTATGACATTCCTGCAGCAATCCAGTAGAGGGTCACAATCACCTGGAAAGTAATTGTCCATCACACAATCTTTCATTATAGATCCTTCTCTTAATTATTATTTGAACTTACAGCAAATTCGAAAGAGTATCCATGAGTGCGAGGGAGCATGTGCTCGGTCAACAGGTACATCAGCGATCTAAATGAGGCCAGTTGCAGACGGCATTCAGTTGAGGGTTTTTTCATCGAGATTCAGTAGTTTACGGAACCTTCGACCTAAGATTGGTACGCAATAGAGCCCCTGCAAAATACACACTTTTTGAAACTTATATAGAATGGTGTTGTGAGAGAATCATGTGCTTCACGGAGAGTTTATTACCCGTCGAATCCACCTGTGACGCAGTCTTCTCTCACGCATTACCGAGCCGATAGCTTCATTCAATGCGTCAAAATCCGCCTGGCCTCGTCTGAGCAGAATCGGAACTAAGGGCACGATCAACGGTACATTCATCGCGACGACTGACAGCTGTCAAACCAGCGCCAGTGGGATTCAAACTTTAGCAGACGAAAGTGAATGTGTGTCGGCCGACGTCGGTGTCGAGGGCGGAGCGGCTCGCCACGGCCCGTGTCTCCCCCTCCCCTTACCAAATTTGTGTCGACACGAATCGCAAAGTGTCGACACATTCGAGAATTCGGACACACTCTTGACCCCTCAAAATGAGACGACCTAAGCGCCACTCCATTTTCAGCCCGCCCTTCTGCTTTGAAAAAGCTATCCAGGGGGCTTATGCAAACGACCTCGTGTGTGTCTGTCTGTCTGTCCGTCTGTTCCACTAGAAGGAGATGTGCCAGAGAGACTTGAAATTTTCAGGGTATATCAAGGTCCACTCCTAGAGACCGAAACGCCTACCGAATCCTGGCAACCACCCCAACCACCCCTAGGAGTGTGAATGGGGATATCCAAGGTCCAGGGAGGCGGGTCTACTTAAGTGAAGAAATCGATTTGACCTACCGTTAACCAATTTAATTAAACAGCCCCCCCCCC